TTTTTTATTTTACGACGACGACGATGACGACACATGAAATTGCTGCTACTACTGCTGCTACTACTACTACTACTACTACTCCTGCTGCTGCTGCTGCTACTACTACTACTACTACTACTTCTACTACTGCTATTACTACTACTACTACTACTACTACTACTACTACTGCTACCACCACTACTACCGCTACCGCTACCGCTACCACTACCACCACTACTACTACTACTACTACTACTACTACTACTGCTACCACCACTACTGCCGCTACCGCCACCACTACCACTACCACCACCACTGACGGCCACGACGACGACTACTACTGCTGCTGCTGCTACTGCTGCTGCTGCTACCACTTTTACTACTCCTACTGCTACTGCTACCACGACCGCGACCGCCACCGCCACCGCGACTACTATTGCTACAACCGTTAGACCAGCCCACCCCGGACCACCAGCACTGCGACCAGCACCACGACCAGCACAGCGACCCTGCCAGCACCGCAGCATGATCGGCAACATAATGATTTTTACTGTTATTGCATCAGGATCTGCATCACACCGATCGAACCTTCTTCAGGTGTGGTTGGTCTTCGCCAGTATGCCAGGGAAGGCAATTGTTCCTATGGCAGCTTCGTGCTCGAAGATCTTCCCAAGCTTGAAGAAGATCTCACGGCCAGCTTGCATGCACAGTTTGTTTGCGTTCGACCGCTAGTGAGTGTTTGCCTAATGTTTGGGTCTGGGACCTTATGACTTATACCGGTCACATTAGGTGTGTGAGTGTGGGGTATATAGGGGGATGATGAGGGTTGCCAAGTACCGTAGTTCATGCTTGTATATACACTATCACTATGACCTCGGAATGGATGTCCCAAAACCAGATAGCCTTCAGGGCAGGTGCTGAGTGACTGCAGGACCGATCAGCTGAGCTGTGGTCTATTCAGATGTATGCAATAGCAGGATTAGCACAGCCTCGACTGCTCGCGCTGCGGTGCGCGTGCTTAACAGCCGAGGCAGCTCGATTCGAAGACTCTGTGCCTCAAGACGCCAAGTCCTCGTACAACCTCATCGCCTTCCCGGGCGAGTCCAACTTCAGTGGGGCTCGATGCGACTTGTCCTGCGTGCAGCGGCTGAGGACCGGAAGCCTGAGATGGAGAGTGCTGCTGGATGCTGCCAAGCTTGCCTGCTCTCCTGGCGCTCTGGATCTCAATCAATGCCACGCTGACTTCACAGTGGTTTCCTTCTACAAGATCTTCGGATACCCTACTGGTCTTGGGGCATTGCTCATTCGGCATGATGCCGCGCCTCTGATCACGCCGCAGGCAGACCTCACAGGAGGCCCGACGCGGCAGGGGGGTTTTGGGGGCCCTGGAAGACCTCTCTACTTTGCAGGTGGCTGTGTCTCGTCTCTGTCGGCTCTCTCTTCGTTCGCGATCCCGCGTCCCAATTTAACGGAGTGGTTGGAGCGGGGTACACCTCATTTCCTGGGCATTGCATCTCTGCCGGCGCAGCTTGAGTCAGTGAGGGCGCTTGGCCCCGACCATGTGCGGTGTCGGCATGCGATGGCCGTCGGTAGAGAGGCATACCTCCGCACTGCACGACTTCGCCACAGCAACGGACTCAAAGTTTGCACGATTTTCGGCAGGCACGATGAGGAGAACTGGAGCGAGGTGCAAGGGCCAACGCTGGCACTAAGTTTGCAGTATGCTAACGGATCACCGGTCCCTTATGCGATTGTCGGTGAGAGGGCGGCGGCAAGGCAGATCGTGATCCGCACCGGTTGCCACTGCAATGCAGGGGGGTGTCAGAAGTTTTTAAATTTGGAGGACACTGACATCCGACATTTCTTCGCATCCGGTAAAGTCTGTGGAGACGATAAGGGCCTTGTGGATGGTCGACCAACTGGCGTGGTTCGTGTTTCCTTTGGCCTGTACTCCACACTATCGGACGTTTGCAGCTGGATATCGCTTCTTACCGAGTTCGTGGACATGATGCCGCCAGACTGCTTGGAAGACGGCTGCAAGCTCCCAGCTGACTTGGCTTCGCCCTCGGCTACAACCGAGGCTCCAGCGATTCACTTGCATCCGCATGCGGGTCCAGCCCTTGGAACCGTGAAGGCTCTGAAGGTTTATCCCGTAAAGGGCTGTGGACCGCTTCGGGTCGAGCGCTGGCCTTTGGATGCTGGGGCACTCTTTTTGGACCGGCGTTGGTGCCTGAAGCTTGAGGGCAGTGGATTTCGGGCCGTCAGTGCCAAGCAAGCACCGCGGCTAACGACCGTGAGGATGTCTTTGAGGAAGGGGGAGAATGCCTTCGTGCTGGTCCTGTCCACCAAGTATCATGCCAGCGCTCTGGAGCTACCTCTGAGTAAGCGCGACTCTGACTTCTTGCGCTCTGCAGGTGTCGAGCCGCAACTCGATCCGTGGGAGAACGGACCGCCTAACTTCCGCCAGACGCATGTCGAGTCGCCTGAGGCCTGGTTCGAGCAGCTGCTTGGCATCCAGAAGCTGCGACTTACTGAGGCCTCCGTGGCCGATACTTCTGCAGGGGGCACGGGGGAGGCACCAGCAACAGCAGACAAGACGGACTTTGCAAATGCCCCGAAGACGCTGTTGCTAGTGTCCACGGCCTCGCTGAGGGAGTTCGGGCGGCTTTGTGGGCTGCCAGTGCCTGCAGATCGCTTCCGAGCGAACCTGGAAGTCGACTTCGCAGAGCCCTACGAGGAGGCTTCCTGGCCTGCGGGTTTGCCACTACAACTGGCAAACACGACCTTCGAAGCGGCAGGGCGCTGTGTGCGGTGCCAGGCCGTGGACATCGACCCTGCGGATGCTAGCTCCCAAGGACCTTCTCTCTTGGCGGCATTGGCCACAGCGCAACCAGGATCTGCGGCCAAAGGACCTACCTTCGGCGTGCTCCTGCGGACTTCCGAAGCCGGACTTCCCGCACACCACAATCCGCCTCTGTTGGAGGTCGGCATGGCCCTACGCCGGGCAGGCAAGTCTCTCTGAATGTTCCTGGAACATGAGTGGAAGGCAAGGGACGGCTGGTTTGGAAGGGCGCAGACAGGCCGTCACACCTCAACCGGCTCGTCCTCGCAGGAACAACTTCAGTTTGCACAGAAACTTGTGCAGATCCAGTTTTCGCAAAAGCAGATGGAGGAAGAAATCTTCAGGTTGCAAGAACAGCTCAAGCACGGACGTAGTTTCGAGCGGTGAAAAGGATGAATCATGCTGTAAGGATTCCGCACGCAATTGCAGTTTGGTCCAAGCCAAGCTGAGCCGATTGTTAGATGGAGATGTCCTGGACCTAAAGTGCCGCACAGCTGCAGCTAAGTGGGGCTGTCAACTTGCATAAGCCGCTTTGCATGAGGGAGAGTCTCGTCTCGATACCCAAACAGCAGTTGCAACTCTAGGCTTCAGCTGCCTTCAGGCTGTTGTGGCTCCGGCAACCCACCGCCTTGGACTTCACTGCAAAACGCTGATCAGCACATGGCTCCCCAAACAACTGCATACTCAAAACCTCTTGGAAGTAGAAAAAAAGCACGAGTACGAGTCCTGGTGCCAGTACTACTGGTACAGAAAATGGTAGCACTAGTAGTCGTCGCCGCCGCCGCCGTCGTCGTCGTCGTAGCAGTAGCAGCAGCAGCAGCAGTAGCAGCAGTAGAAGTGGTAGTAGTAGCAGCAGCAGCAGCAGCAGTAGCAGTAGCAGTAGCAGCAGCAGCAGCAGCAGCAGCAGCAGCAGCAGCAGCAGGAGTAGTAGTAGGAGTAGTCCTAGTCGCAGTCGTCGTCGTCGTCGTCGCCGCAGCAGCAGCAGCAGAAGCAGTAGCAGTAGCAGTCGCAGTCGCAGTCGCAGTCGCAGTCGCAGTAGCAGAAGCAGTAGTAGTAGTAGTAGTAGTAGTAGTAGTAGCAGTAGCAGTAGCAGTAGCAGTAGCAGTAGCAGTAGCA